ATACAAGATGAAATTCTTACTCAACAAGTTAATGATATAAGTATTGCAGAACATATTAACATAGGAGAACAGAATTATGCTAAATTAAATGTAAAACAAAAACTTGTAGTTGATTATGTACTTGATGCCCTAAAGGATTCTTCTTTTGATGGTTCTAAGTGCTTATATGTTGATGGTTGTGCAGGATCTGGAAAAACATTTTTATACATTACGCTATGGCATTTATTAAGAAGTAAAGGAATAAATGTTTGCAACATGGCATTTACAGGTATAGCTGCGACTCTGCTTCCTAATGGAAAAACTGTTCATAAAGTTTTAGGCTTACCCGTTCCATAATACAGTGATTCATCTTTAAACATTAAAGTTCAATCTAAAGAAGGCCTCTTTTTAAAAAATATAGATGTTTTTATTTGGGATGAAGCACCAATGGCTCCAAAATATGCTTTAGAAATTATGGATTATCTATTAAGAGATATAATGAATTCCAACGAACCTTTTGGTGGTAAAATTGTAATTCTAGTAGGAGATTTTCGATAAACTTTACCAATTAAAGAACGGGGCACTAGATCAGAAATAGTAAATTTATCAATAAAAAATAGTAAACTATGGAAATATTTCAAAAAATACTCATTAACAGATAATATGAGAGCTTTACCACAAGAATCGGAATTTGTAGATTTTTTACTTAAAGTTGGCAATGGTGAATTAAATGATGCAGATGATAATGTTATATTACCAGAACATATTATTCAAGAAGGGAATGTAGATATTGCTGAAGAAATGTATAGTCAGTTTATACAACAAAATAAATTTGAGGAGATGTCGGAGTGTGCTATTTTAGCACCTAGAAACGTTGACGTTGATGATATTAATAAGAGAGTGGTGCGTCTCTTAGACAGTAAAGGTGAAAAAATATATAAAAGTATTGATTCTACTGAAAATTGTGATAATGGAAAATTTACTGATGTATTCTTACCAGAATATTTAAACACTCTCTCTCCACCTTCTTTGCCACCTCATGAATTGCATTTAAGAATTAATTCTGTTGTAATGCTTATTAGAAATCTTAGTATTAATGAGGGATTGTGTAATGGAACAAGGTTGCTTGTTTTAGACTTATCACATAATGTTATTAAATGTCAAATATTAACGGGCGATAAAAGTGGAAATATTGTCTTTTTACATAGAGTAACTTTATATTGTGAAAATTTATATCCGTTTACTTTTGAAAGACGATAATTTCCTATAAAATTGGCTTTCGCAATGACTATTAACAAATCTCAAGGACAAACATTTAACAGAATATTTATTGATTTAAGAAGAGATGTCTTTAATCACGGTCAGATGTATGTTGCATTATCAAGGGTACGTTCATTTGATTCCGTAAAAATATATTTGGGAGATAATAGAAGTGATATGTATATAAAAAATTATGTTTATATTGAAATTCTCGAGTCATTTTAATTAAGTTTAGTTTGTTTTACTAAAAAAACTAAAAAAAAATGAATTTTTAATATTTTTACTATTTATTAGAGTACCAACTTTTAAAGTTTGAACGAGAAGATGACAGTGTCAAAAATATATAATGTAAATTTATTTCTTGGCTTTTTTCATTCACATATTTCATTAAAAAAATTAAATGATTTTAACATTACTACTTAAAATTTCAAATCTGTTAAATTTAGTCGAATTTATACTAATTTGAAATTAACAATTTTACTTAAAATAGCATACATTTAATCTTAGAACCAGAAAATTTTTGGAATTATAGGCCTCCTAGGTTACCTAAAATAAAAGTATTTTTAGCTCGATTCGTAAAGTCTTTCTACAATTTTTTGAATTTGTTTGCCATTTTGGAGTCGACATTTTGAATTTTTTAATTTTGACTAAAGAGTTTGATATAGAGACCTCAAAACCTTCCGAATGAGTATTTTCAGCCAAATTTATAAACTTTAAAAAATTGATAAACGAATTGATATTCGTACTTCATTTATCACAGTGATTTTCCTTTTTTGTCATACAAAAAATTGTTGAAAAATAAAATTTGTTATCAATATATTGAAAATCAAAAGAAAAATTAAAATGTAATAAATAAACTTTATTTTTGGCTTGATAACCATTCCAAATATTAAATTAAAGTGAGTTAATTTGTAATTATGAACTCTATTTTTAAATCGATGAAAAATATTAATTCATAATATTTTAAAAATGTCTTTTGGATTATCAAAATTGATTAAAAAAATAACTTTGAAAAAAATTGTAACTTAATTATCTATGAAAATATTTCATTTTTTTAGCATAAAATGCAGAGTCAATTTTAGGATTTGTTTAACAAGCACATTTTTATTGCTACTTTTTTCTTCAAAAGAGCATAAAAATACTAACTAATCGTTTGACAACAATTCCACTTTCGTTTTTAATTATGACATTTCTACAATAAAAAATAACACAAGTAGAACAACCTGCTGGCCAATACAACATGTAAGCCTTTTTTCTAATATAATTTTCTTATTACGGTAAGTTTGCCCGTAACATAATCATCAAGCCGACTGTAATATTAATGTAACACAACGTGCTATTTAAATAGATATCCAAAGCGTTGAATAATGATCAGATCACATGTCAATTGTGATTAGAGTTACAGAAGTTATAAATTTTACACCTGATCTTAGTTTAACAGTATGTTGAATTAAGGGGTTATATACAGTCACGATTTTTAAAAAATCGATTATTTTTATTTGCATTTTCTTAAAGTATATATATTTGCCTGTTGTGAAAAAAAATTTTATTAAGATTCGAGGAATTCTTTCGAAGTTGCAGACAAAACTAGAAACGCGTACCGCAGGGTGTAGAGTAGGTGCAGGGTCTTTAAGGGGTTATATACAGTCACTATTTTCAAAAAATCGATTTTTTTTGCATTTTCTTAAGGTATATATATTTGCCTGTTGTGAAAAAATTTTTTATTAAGATTCGAGAAATATTTTCGAAGTTGCAGACAAAACTAGAAAGGCGCGCCATGGGGTGTAGATCAGGTGCAGCGTCTTTAAACTCGCTTTTCTCAAAACTATGTTTTTCAAGTCAGTGAACACGATTTCTCAAAAACCGCTGAACCGATTTAGCTCTAATTTTCACACTGCATTTTTCCGACCGCCTGACTGTATATAACCCCTTAAAAGGATTAAACTACTATGGCTATCCAATAGCATATCTATATATTAAAAATATTTTTGTTTAAAATTTATTATTTGCATGTGCTTAGAATCACTGAATACTATTTTAAAATAATTTGTTGTTAAATTTATTCATTTAAGATGTTAGTTATTTTTATACTGGCACAAAAATATAAATGTTAAATATTTCGAGTAATAGGAATTTAAAACTTGTTTACAATTTGAGTCATTTTAAAGGAGATTAGGACGGAGATAAGTTTTCCATTTTTATTTAAAAAAAGAAATCTCTTAATAAAGAAATGTAGTATATTGTTATCAGTGCTTAAGAAACTCACATTAATATAGAAGTAGAGTATTAGCAATATTTTATATTTCTTAAGAAAATAATTACCACGAAATTTATTATTTTGTTGGTCAAACAACAATTTTCGTATTGATTGATCTTATAAATTAATAATAAGCAACAGTTAAGTTATAACAATATATATTTTATTACTAAATATAATTTTTAGAAACTTTCATTTTAAAATATGAAAATCATGTTAGAATTATCATTACTAGAAGTAAAATAAAAAGTCAGTGTCATATTTTAACAAATGTATAAAATTTATTGAACTGTGATTACATTACTTATTATAATATCACAAATTTCAATTAATACTGCCATTGATATAATTAAAATAATAATTAGATATTACATAACGTCATAAATATATTCACCTGTGGTCACAAAATGTAATATATTATGTTTTGTCAGAATTTTTATATAATTGACTTTCATGTGAAATGTATGATTATACATTTCACGTGTGAAAATTACGTGCTTTTATAAACAGCATTTTAGTTATATTTGTTAAAAAGTTTCAATAAATGATATGGAACTGAAAATATTTTTTTGACAATTAATAAAACTAAATTTTTATTCTACGCTTGAAAACTTTATATTATATAAATTTTTCTTACATGATATTAACGATTTTAATAAGTCAATTAGATAATGAAAATGTCGCTTTAACAAAAATGTTGATGTATTAATTTTTATGTATAAATTTCAACAGAGATTTTATTCTAATAATAGTCTGTTTTTCTCTTTATATTTCTTTGAAATAATAAATGAAATATTTTATCTTAACATTATTGGCGATTATAATAATTTTTGTAGCAGAAATAATATTTCATGTTATATTCTATACACTTGTCGTAATTGTTAAAAAAAAGTGTGACAACCAACGTGGAAGATAATAAACTTAATTGCGTACAATAATTCATTTAATTTTTAATTATTTATATGTCATAAGTTTATATTAAAACATCTTTCAAACAAATGACATTAATGCTATGAAACACTTAACACTATTTTGTTTTAACGATAAATAAAAATATATTCATTTAGAAAAATTAAATTATTGAAAATTATATTTTACTTTAGCATGAATAAATATTATTCGATATGTTATTTTGATATTATATGAACATTATAAATTTTTTGGTTTCAGTTATTTAAATAAATATTATTTCTTTGAAATAATAAATAATAAATTAAATATCTTTTCTTAACATTATTGGTGATTATAATAATTTTTGTATCAGAAATAATATTTCATGTCATGTTCTATAAATTTGTCGTAATTGTTAAAAAAGTGACAACCAACGTGGAATATCAAATTATCTTTCAAACAAATAACATTATTGCTATGAAATAAATAACATTATTTTGTTTTAACGGTACATAAAAATACTTCTTATATGAAGAAGCAATATATACATTTAGAAAAATTAAATTATTGAAAATTATATTTTACTCTAGCAATAATGTATATTATTCGATGGTATTTTTGATATTATATGAACACATTATAAATTTTTTTGTTTTAATTAGTTAAATAAAAATAAATTTTGTAGATATATTTGTAAAAAAATTTGTAAAGAAAAATGTATCTTAAGCTTTCACGTTATGACGAGATAATTCAGTCATATATTTTTTATTCTGGATCTTCCCTGGAATTTTGTCTGTCGCATACTCGCTTCAATTCTCTGTAACCAAACATCAAATCTCGCACTGGCAATCGTTCCGTTTCAGGTACAACTTGTACATCATTTTCTGTGTTCACTTGAAGATATATCCTGGGTCCTATAAAAATACATTACATCATATTAATCGAAGGCAAAATAATTATGTAAAACTAAAATTTTTTAGAAAATTTTTTCTCCTGTATATCACTAAAAAAGTTAGAGGTTATTGTTATTAGGAATGACTTTATATATAGTTTACTTTACTATACAGGGCTCGAACTAGGTCGTAAATCCCGCAAAAGTCCGTAAATTTTCTGGAAGTTCGTAAATGTCCGTTTTTTTTAAAGTCTGTAAAGTCTGTAATTTGATTAAGAAAAGATGAAAAGCTCCTAAGTTGTATGATATAATTTGGAGAATTTTAGAGAAATTACAAATGATTGTAGAAATTCAATTATTTTCAAAAGTAAGAATATTCTTCGCAGAAATTCAATTATGTTCAAAATTTTTTCTAAATTATCGTCAAAATTTTAATTATTTAAAAAACTTTCCTCAATTCAATGATTTTTAATATTTAGTATTTAAAAAAAAATTTCCAAAAGAATTCAATTATTTAATAAAAATTTAATAAAATTCTACGCAAACCTTTAATTATTTTCCTAACATAATAAAAATTTTACAGAAATTTAATAATTTACGAATTTTTTATAAATTTCTTTTCAATAATTCAATTATTTTCATAAATAATAAAATTTTTACATAGATTAAATTATTTTCGTAAATAATACAATTTTTTACAGGAATTCAATTATTCATGTGAATAATGTGTAATTGTATTAGAAATACACTCCAACGCTAGTTTAGCGGACTGTCTGGGGAGTTGTCTGTTAAAGCGAACAATACCTTTGACAAGGCAGGACAAAGAAAATCGTAAGTCACGAACCAAAATGTCCACTAAACCGGCGTTGGAGTGTAATTGGATTTTAAAAAAGTTTTAAATTAAAATTTTTGAAAATCTGAATGTTATATAGTTTTAACTAACAATTCTGTGGAATTAATTTTTTTTTAAGAAAGTTTAATTGTGGATTTTTTAAAAAATTATTTCAAGTTTTTATTTTCTAATATATATTTAATTATAGAATTTACGAATAATTGAAATTTCGTAAAATTGAATAGTGAATAAAGGAATTTGATAATTCTCAAAGAACTTATTAAAAATTATTAAAAATAATGCATATATATACAAGAATGTTAGTTAAAAACACAAAAAAATTGATTTTTGGATATAAATTATTGCAGAAGTTCAATTCTTTTTAAGAGTAATAATATTCTTCGTGAAAATTATATATATATTAAAAACTAATAAAATACTTCTTATGAATTCGATTATTTTTTCAAATAATAAAACTATCGCAGAATTTCAATTATTTTTAATATAATTTTAATCAAATTGTACTTAAATAATTTAATTTGTAGTAGAATTTTCTAAGAGAAATTTATATAAAAATGAAATTCAGTTAAAATTTAAGATAATAATTAAGTTGTAAAAGCAATATAGTTTGAATATTTAGAAATAATTTGATTTTGAAATTAATTATTTTGAAAAAAGTTTTATTGGATTTTTTGTTTTATTTTACGTTTTTATTTTCTAATAAAGATTTAATTGAAGAATTGACAAATAATTGAAATTTCGTCAAATTAAATATTGTAAAGAAATGGGTTTGAAAATTCTGAAAGAACTTTATTAGAAATTATTAAAAAGTAATTAATTTAAAGAAGAATTTTAATTAAAAATTCTTGTAGATAATAATTTTATCACTCAGTTATTAATTATTATAAAACATTAAGAAACGATCACTCAATGTTGACTATATATAAATTAAATTCTGTAAAATGTTAGAGTAAATAGAATTTTATCATCGTTATAATTATGAACAAAATGATTTCTAATGTCTTTAAAAATAATAATGTTACCTTGTGAACGGATTTGTCCAAGTATATTAACTGGATCGCCTTTCTCACAAGACATTGTGTTCCGAAAAGATGCGATTCTTACTTCCAATTTGAAATTTCCGTCTGTGACGGACCCACATCCATATGTTCCCAAGTTTTGATTGCCACCAATCGATTGATAAACAAATTTGCTTTTAATGTATGCAAATAATTCTAAAAATTATTGAAACGAATAATAGTTATTTTTCAATTAATAGTTTTTTCACTTATCAGAGAATGAAATTAAAAATATAAAAATAATATATAATCAAAACTTTATTAGTATAAAAATAATTTTAAGATAAATAATTTTAACTTTATTTTCAAAGAAAACCGTTTTATTTTTCTCTTTAACGTAACAATTGGATTTAAGATGTATATATAAAATGTATATAAAAATTATGTATATTTTATATTTATATATTTTTTTTCAATGAAAAAATTTGTAAATATTCATTAAAAATACATTAAATAGGATTTCTAATATTTTGAATTCAATAATATTTAAATTTCTTAATTCAAATCAACTGCACTTCTTTTGTTAAACTATTAATTAAATAATTATTATTTTTAAAATGAAGAACGTAATTTTTTTATTTCCTTCATCAAAAGTTTTACATGTTAAATTATATTTGCAATATCTACTACTCTTTAAAGATAAGAATAAAATTTATTATTTTTTTAAGTCATTGAATTGTGAATTTCGAAACGGGTTCAACTCTAAAAACCGTAAGTATCATGTTTATATAACAAAAGACAATGAAAAGGATTCTTACGATTTACATAGTGAAGCCTTTTCGAAATTCACGATTCAATTTGTTTTCCTATTTTAAAGAGCAGAAAACGACTTTTTAAAATCATAAATAGTTTCCACTGTTTTATTAAAACTAATAATTATTTTAACATTAATTAATTAATTTATTTGCAAATAGTAATTTTATATTTACTTATTGTTTCGTTTTCATGGTGTACTATATCATCCATCTCAACCTCCAAAATGTTTTCATCTGCCACTACTGCTTCCAATTCTCGTGGACCTAATGAAGTTACTACAGTTGTAGAATACAACTGTAATTCGAAATTGACATTTCCTTTGTTGTAGCCTTCTTTTATCGGGACTCTAGCACATGCGCCATCAATATGCAATTTCTAAAAATTTTTAAACATTTGAATAACTTTCAATTTTTACATAGGGTAATGTCACATTGAGTGGACTGACACTTTGAGTGGACCACCTGAGTTTTTAAGTTATCTGGCAGCGGAAACGTGAAATAAATAAAACGAATAGCAACACCGCATCTAGAAACCGTAACAATTTATGTTCCGCAATAATCATATACGTTATTGTTTGATGTAACGCATTTTTAAGAACACAAACCAAAAAAGAAGTCGCTCTTACAATGAGTATAGTTATTCGGAAGTGTAAAAGTAGTGTAAAATTTAAATTTTAAAAGGTAACTTATTTTTTTCCTACTACTTTGGACATTGAAATTGATTGTCTTAGTTTATTTAAGTGATAATTTTGACTCAAAAAAAATTTTGGTGTCTGCCATAAAAAGTTGCATGTCACCATGAGTGGACCACAGTTTATAACCATAAGTGGACTGCCTATTTTTTTATATTTTTAATGTCAGTTTACCATTTTTATGGAAATAAATTGACAATAAATTAGTTCGAAACTGTTTTATGTTCTTTATTAATTTTTTTGTGATTTTGATGTGATATGTGCCAAAATTATTGAAAATGGTTTCGCTTGTAAACATTGCGACATAAACATGGTCTGAAGCTGCATAAGCATAAATTTTGTTTCAATATCTCAGAAATATTAAATACATTAAAGAATTTAGAATAACTTTCACAATTTTTTAAGAGTGGTCCACTCAAGGTTACACTTTTTTCATTCCTTAAAAATGAGCTACTTTTTTAAAGTCAATTGTTTTTCCCAAATAAAAAAAAATTAAAGCTATTATGGTATAAACACTTATCTAGGGATCTAAACTAAAGCTTGGAATAGAAACCTCCGATCAATTTGCTGTCATAAAGAATTTTTTAGAAAAAAAGCTTAGGCGGTCCACTTAAGGTGACATTACCGTACTTTAAAATATTAAAAAACAATATCTTCCTAATAACTGTTATATAATGCTCAATGCTTGAAAAATTTATTTTTTTAAGATAAAAAGTTAAATTATTTTTCTAAGAATAAATTTTTATTCATATATATTTAAATTAAATCAAATGAAATTAAAATTTTAATTAATATTAATAATTTCAAAATAATATTATATTATTACACAGGCCTGCATCATTTCGGGATAATGAATGCGACTAGGTGTTTCCGAAGGAAAATTTTGCCCTGAACACGAATCCGAGGTCCAAAATGCTCCATCACGTCAAGTTTTTGAAAAAAATGGGGTTGAAACCCCTAAAAACAGCGTTTTTGGCACTTTTTGAAAAATTGTGGGGCAAAATCCTGACGTGATAAAAATTTCGCTATTATCAGAAATTAAAGCTTAATTCATGCCCTTTTAAATGAGCCCTCAGCCGATTAATATCCTTCAACCCTTAAAGCAGGGGGTGTGTTTTTGTCCAGGGGTGCGAAAATTTTAAAATACTGTACAAAAAAAATTATTTAAGGGATTTTTTAGGGGTTGTGAATGGAGAAAAATTTTGAAGCTATAGGTTTAAGTACACGGCTACCCCTAAAAAAAACCTTAAATAATTTTCTTTGTATATGTATTTTAAAGTTTTTGCACCCTTGGACAAAAACACACCCCCTGCTTTAAGGGTTGAAGGATATTAATCGGCTGAGGGCTCATTTGAAAGGGCATGAATTAAGCTTTAATTTCTGATAAAAGCGAAATTTTTATCACGTCAGGATTTTGCCCCACAATTTTTCAAAAAGTGCCAAAAACGCTGTTTTAGGGGTTTCAACCCCATTTTCGTCAAAAACTTGACGTGATGGACCATTTTGGACCTCGGATTCGTGTTCAGGGCAAAATTTGCCTTCGGAAACACTTTGTCGCATTCATTATACCGAAAAAAAGTTTCATTTTGCAGGCCTGTGTTATTATTATTTTTATTATATTATATTATTATATATTATATTAAAATATTGTTAAGTATTAGGTATATTACATTATTACAGGGTTGCTACAAAAATCTAATTTTCTTTTTTCCCTGACTTTTCCCTGATTTCCAGATAAAATTTTGGCTTTTTCCCTGACCCTAAAGAATATTCTGATTCACTCTAAAAATTATTAAATACTCTAAAAAAAGTTTTATTAGGTACATTTATTTAAGAATTTCTTTAATTGTAAAATTATTCGAAAATATCAATAACTTGATTTCTTTTTTAATCATGATATTATTTTTTCATAAGAAAAAATATTTCAAAACTTTCAAATTCAATAACTTAAAAGAATATTATTATAAAACATGAAGAAATAGATCACTCCGAGTCGAAGACTCTTTTTTCTCTCTCTTATTTTACTGTTTCTTTTTTTTTCCTGTTTTTTTAGTAATTAACCCTTTAACGCCCAGTGGTACATACGCTGTACCACAAATGCATTAAAGTCATCATAACTTTGAAACTAGTACATATTACTACAAATTTTAAATTCTTAGCTCTAGTAAAACTCTTCCAGCAGATAATTAAAAAAAACAAAAGTAAAAAAATAATAATAAATAATTAAAATAATAATAAATAAAAAAGTGTCAAGATACATTTTCTCCTATGACGGACAAAAAAATTTTTAAAAATTAATCAGATTCGATTAAAACTTGTTACTCGGGGGTTTTTGGGGTCGCTGATTACGAATATGAAGTCAAAATTGCAAAATTCAAAATGGCGGATCCAATATGGCGGACGAAAAAATAAAAAATAATGGGATTTATATGAAACTTGTCACTCGGGGGTTCTTGGGGTCGCTGATTACGAATATGAAGTTAAAATTGCAAAATTCAAAATGGCGGATCCAATATGGCGGACAAAAAAAATAAAAATTAATGGGATTTATATGAAACTTGTCACTCGGGGGTTCTTGGGGTCGCTGATTACGAATATGAAGTGAAAATTGCAAAATTCAAAATGGCGGATCCAATATGGCGGACAAAAAAATAAAAATAATGGGATTTATATGAAACTTGTCACTCGGGTGTTTTTGGGGTCGCTGATTACGAATATGAAGTCAAAATTGCAAAATTTAATTTGGCGGATCCAATATGGAGGACAAAAAAATAATGGGAGATATATGAAACTTGTCACTCGGGGGTTTTTGGGGTCGCTTATTACGAATATGAAGTCAAAATTGCAAAATTCAAAATGGCGGATACAATATGAAAGACAAAAAAATAACAAATTAATGGGATTGACATTAAATTTGATGCTTTGAGTTTTGGGGTTTCTGAGGTTAAAATGTTAAGAATCATAATGGTGGATTTAATAGAGCGAATTATGTTTAATAAAAGTAAGATATTTAATCCATTTGTGAAAGGAAACCTGGAACGCTTGACTCGAACGAAAAAGAACAAATGAAAATCAGCTGGCCAATCAATAAAAACAATTGACAACCCTGGAGCGCATGACTTGAATGAAATAGAACAAATGATAGTCAGCTGGTAACAATATTCAAGTAAATCCTATTTAATTTTTAATTCTCGTCCGCCATTTTGGATCCGCCATTTTAAATTTTGTAATTTTGACTTCATATTCGCAATCAGCGACCCCAAAAACCCCCGAGTAACAAGTTTCATATAAATCCCATTATTTTTTATTTTTTCGTCCGCCATATTGGATCCGCCATTTTGAATTTTGCAATTTTGACTTCAGATTCGTAATCAGCGACCCCAAAAACCATTATATACCAAGTGTGGTTGAAATCGAATCGGTGGAAATAATTCGGGCTTTAAAGGGTTAAAGATGACCATGTAATAAAATCATTATTTTATATTTTAATATAAGAATGTTGTTACTGTAACTTTTTAAAAATTATTTCTCTTGTTTCAATTCAATTTCTAAAAATTTAAAATAAAATTCTATTTTAAATCAGGTTTTAATAATATTTTTTAAAAAACTTCTTCTTTGAGAATTTTTAAATCCACTTGTTTACAATTATATTATACGTGAAATTTTAATTATTCGGAAATTCTTAAATTAAATATACATTAGAAAATAAAAACATGAAATAATTTTAAAAATTTGTAATTAAGCTTTTTGAAAATAAAATTAGTTCTATAGAATTTTTAATTAAAAGTATGAAAAATTCAAATTTTCAAAGATTTTAATTTAAAACTTGAACAAATTTCAATTATTTTTAAAAAATTGCAATTATTAGTAACTTCTCCAAAATCCAATTATTATCTAAAACTTTAACTAAAATTCATTCATAAATCAATTATTACTAAAAAATTCAATGGTAATTGAATTATTTAAAAACAAACATAGATAATTGAGTGAATAATTAAATGTTTCTTAAAATTGAATTGTCATATATAATTCTATTAACAAATTTTTAAATAATTGAATTCTTTCAACGAATTTTAATAACAATTTTAAGAATAATTACTGTTTTCAAGGAATTTGATTTAAATTTTATTAAAAATAATTAAAATTCTGCAATGAGCACTATTTATTTATGAAAATAATTTAATTCCTAAAAAGAATTTTCTTATTTAAGACAATAATTGAATCCTTTTAAAAATTGTATTATTATTTATAAAAATAATTAAATTATTGCAAAGAAATTTTTTAAAAAATTGTAAATAATAATTGAATATTTATTTTAATAAAATTTATTGTAAATAATTGTATTTTTTAGAAAATTTCATTAAAATAGTAGATATTGAAAATCATTGAATTGGAGAACATTTTTGAAAGAAATAAAAATTTTGCCAATTTTAAAAATAAAACCTTTTCAAAATTCAATTATTTCTAAAAATTCAGGTTTAAATGTCTCTAAATATTCAATATTATCTAAAATCTGAACTAAAAGCCATTTTTGAATCAATTTTTATTTTTTATTAAGAAATTCTAACAAAATTTAATTATTTAAATACAAAAATAAATAATTTATTGAATAATTAAATGTTTCTTAAAATTGAATCCTTATACATAATTTTATCAACAAAAATTTTTAAATAATTGAATTTTTTTGAAGAATTTTAATAACATTTTAAAAAGAATTACAGTTTTTAAGAAATTCGATTGAAATTTTATTAAAAATAATTAAAATTCTCCAATGAATTTTATTATTTAAGAAAATAAATAAATTATTAGGAAGAATTTTATAAAAAAGGTTTCAAACAATTATTTTAAAAAAAATGTATGCAAATTCTATTTTTAATAATTCAATATCTGTGAAATTTTTATTTGGTTGAAAAATAATTGATTTGAATGTTTGTTTTAAATATTGTCAAAATTGTTGTTTAATAATTGAATTCTTTTGGGAAACTTTATTAAAATAGTAGAATATTGAAAAATCATTGACACACCTGTCTTGAAAGAAAAAAAAGTTCGTCCCCGATGACTAAAAATAATAGTGGTATATTATGAATCTTTGGGCCTTAAATAAACAGAATTTGATTGTTAGAAAATCGTATGTGATCCTCCTGTACTATTTTTCATGGGTTGAATGTTCATTTAATTCATTACAATAAAAAAATTATTTTTTGATGAGTCAACGTTTCTTACAAATATTAAGATGGGCAAAGGAATAATAATTTACTATTTAAACTTTCATAAACATAATTTAATATTCAACAGCTTAAAACTACAATAGTGTACATAATGTAACCAAATTCAAATTACACATGTTTTGACGAAAAATCAACAACAGCTTTTTTTAATCGTTCGATATACGACTTATCTTTAACATTTTTTATTTCATATCTCGACCAGTAAATTTTAAACTCCCTGTGTACTGACTCGCCTGCTTGCTCAGACCACAATCCTAACCCATCATTGTTTTCCAAGAAATTTAGCCCTTGTTCTATGTGACCTACTGCAACGTGTACTTTCAATGTTTCCGAAACATTGTCCAAAGCTCTTAAGGCTTTTTTCAAATCAATCACTAAATCTCTTACATTTGAACCAACTATTTTAATTGAGAAACAACTCTTAACAATCTTATCGATGACCTTGAACGCTGATATGAAAGGGGCAACAACTATTGGACCTCCAACATGCTTGCAAATTTCTTGATTTTCCAATAAATCAGCATGTTTCAGGAGATTTCTGCAAGCATTTCCTTCAAATATCTTACCATGGTAATTTTTTGCTACACAGTTAATCGACATGGGCCACAACAAAGCTTTTTCCTCACCCAAAATTGGCACCAAACCATCCCAAAATAGATGGTTCACCAAACCTTGCAATATGTGCAATTCCGGTACAACACATTTCTCTACCACATAAACATCGTCACTTTCTTCAAAAAGGGGTTTATTGACTGTGCTGTTACATAATTTTGCCTTTTTTTTGTCGGAACCTAATGATTTGAATTTCAAAAAGTCTTTTTTTAAATCCCCATAAGTTTTTAGCGCAAAATTTTGTTCGGTATTGATCAAATCTTCCTTATCTTTCAGATTCTTCAAGGTTATGAAACAATAAGGACACGGGTAAGTTGCGGTAGCTGTTTGCTGTCCGTTCACAATCAATAAAACTTTGAAATCAGCAACGAATTTGAATGAAATATTATTGATCTTAGTTAAATTAAATAGAATTTCGAAATTTTCGTATGTTTCTTTCACGTCTGGAACAATACATAATAATATCAACTTACGGACGCTTGTCGTTTTAATTTCACCGCCAAGAGAACCTCCTTCAGCATAAGTCTTCCGTTTCTTGGTTGAATTTGAATTTTCGTTTTCGTTTTCAGCATTATAATCCATCGAACAGGTCTCAAAAATTGACATAGAAATTTTTAGAAAGTTTTGACCACCATCAGCCATAATTTTGATAACGTGATTATTACCAATTAAACCTCTATCTTCTATAATTTTTGCAACTAATGTCTCCGCATCAGCATAAACAACTGGTCTTATATCCTTTTCCTTTGTTTTTTCATGTGCCTCTCCAACGTCAAACAACAGCTCTTCGGTTTGATAGTAATCGCTCAAGGATGAAGTCCTTTTTACCAGATGATTGGAAAAACCTTTAGGCAAGGATTTTCGACCAGCTTTTGTCCGTATAAAGTTTCCAAAATTTTTCATTGCTTTATTAGAAATACCTGTCTGATTTTGAAAATTATCCAAACACTGTTCATCAAAAAATACTGAATTTTCTTTATTCTTCACAAACAATTTTCTCTTACGTCCAGCGGTGCAAACCTCGAAACTTTTTGATGAAGTAGATGCGGCTTCAAAATCTTCTTTCAGTATTGACGATGCAACCTGTTGTTTTTGGTTTTTTGGAAGCAATTGTATCTTTTCTTCCAGATTCTTGCGTTTTAATACCTCTAGCCGAGCAGTGCGTGAGCTACAAGAATGCCGTATTCCTTTACCTATTTTCGACTCGCATTTAGAACAAACTTTTTCTACGACCATTAGAGTTGATTTTTTTTCGGTTGATTGACATGACTTTAGTGCATGAAGATCCTGATGATTGTTGGGAATGTTAGATAAATTAAGAGTTTCACCTACTTTTAAAGATTTCTTGGTATTCATGGAAGAATGATTTTTCGACTTCGCAGTTTTACAAATGATACAATCACATAGAAGATCGCCAATTGTATTTCGTATTGCGCTTCTAAGATCTTTTTCTAATCGAACATTTTCCTCAAAATTCGGCATATTTTTAAACGGTCGCTTCGAGTTACCATTATTATGTTCATATAATATTCTTCGACAATTGACGCACATACTCGATGGAAATTTTAAATTGTTTAAAGAAAAACTTTTGTTTACAAAACATTTAATCAGATTCTCTTGATTTTCTGTGATAAAAAAACTCTTTAAATTACCGTCCTTATACACAATTTTTCTACCGCATAAAGCACAAACTTTCTTTCTATTTTCATCATGACTACACGCGTGATTTAACTTGTGATAATTAGACATTTTTAAACCCGTGTAGAAATTTTCCGACTTTGCCCTAGCAGAATTTGATTTCTGGTTGAAGGCTAACTAGGCTCATAATTAACCTTTCTTAAACGTCAAAACAAATGAAAAATTAAATGAAAACTTTGGCTTGACGTTGCCGATTTTTTCTAACCCACATTAAATAATACTTTCTTTTTTAATAATAATTAACCCTTAAAGTACACACTGAGTACAGATCGCCCCGATATTTTGTTCAAATGCGTTTTATTCTTATAACATGTCTATGTCATTTCCTATAGATTAAAAAATTGACGAAATTTCATCAATTTGAGACAAAGATAGAAAGTATCAAAGTAATGCAGGGTACAAATCGAACATGTATATATGTATAGAACATAAGTTTTTGAAGTCTGTACTTTAAGGGTAAAATCTCTTAAATATTTAAGCAAACAATTATGAGTTACTAATAAAAATATTGAAAACATTAATGTTGAATTAAATTTCATATCATAATAAAGCGTTTTTTATAATGAATTAAATGAACATTCAACCCATAAAAAATAGTGCAGGAGGATCAGATACGATTTTCTATCAAACAAATTCTGTTTATTTAAGGTCCAAAGATTCATAATATACCACTATTATTTTTAGTCATCGGGGACGAACTTTTTTTTCCTTCAAGACAGGTGTGTTGAATTAATAAAATTTTTTTAAATAATTGATATTTTGACATGAATTTGATAAAAATTTTTGAGAATAATTGAATTTTATTACTTTTAAAAATAATTGAATTTTTGTGACGAATACTATTATTTATAAAAGTAATTGAATTTTGTCGAAGAATTTTGCTATTTTCATTTATAAAAAATAAGTAATTTAAATGTGAATAATTTTTTTTAAACTCTTTAAAAATAATTGAATTTCTGAGAAGAATTTTATTAATTTTGAAAATAATTGAATTCTTGTGATGATTATCGTTATTTATGAAAATAATAGAATTTTACAATGAATTTTTGCTATTTATAAAGATAATTAAAATGTTGACGAGAATTTTTTAATCATTTTTGAATATAATTGAATTTCTGGAAAGAAGTTTAATATTTATTAAGATAATTGAATTCTTTTAAATAATTACGTTCGAATTTTAAAAATTGAAATTAATGTTTTTTAAAAAAAGACACAAAAATTGAGAATTTTCTTATTTATTCTAAAAATTTAATTTTTTCCAGTAATTTTAATAAAAATCCTTGACTTCACCCTGATTTCCCTGACCTGTGGCAACCCTGTATTAATATTATTTAGAAATATTAAAATTAATATTTACGGTGTTCTCAACGATGTTCCTTTCCAGAGCATCGATATCCTGCTTGTTCCATATGACACATTGAATTTTTTTCCCTGTGTCATTGCAGAAGAAAAATTTTAGTAATTCCGTGTTGCCTGATACTATTCTGGGAAATACTTTGCCAACGAAGCCTACTAATTCTCTGAAAACATCATTTAAATTAAATTATATTGAGAATTGCGATCGTTATTTATTTTTATTTAATTTATTTTATTCTTACACAGTCTTGTCCCAGAATTGTATTGCGTCAATGACTTCATTTGTTGAAACTTTCATTTTCTGTAACATTGAATTTTCTTATATTAATCATGGAATTCAATTGCATTTTTAATAATTATGATTCGATTTTTTTTTCTGAAATTTATTTATACTTTTTAATATAAAGATTTTCCAAAAAGTTACGAAATGCGCCTTCTATGTTTAATGAATTTCAAAATATTCTGTGTTTTATATTATATTTAAATTTAGGTTTGTTTAATGCATATATAATCTTTTCCATTTCAGTACTCTTTAGATAATGTCTGTAAAAAGATTTTTTTTTAAATAAAAAATGGGGTCTAAAGTTAAAAAAAATTCATTTGTTTATAATTTTTTTTAACTTTCTTAAAAGTAAAAAGAAAAAAAATTTTTATTTTTTGAAAATTTTTTTTAAACTTAATATTTTAAGATTTATAAACTACTGAAAATAGATCAATTTCACATTTAGTATAAATTTCTATAAAGAACTTTTTCTATAAAATTACTGAAATTTATTACTGAAATTTTCAAGGACTTAATACATAAACATGTCCCTACTTTCGATCCAAATTCAAAAACTCGTAAGAGACAATATCCTCCATGGTTCACAGGGGATATTATAAGTGATATAAAATTAAAACGGACCTTGTTAAGACGTTATAGTCAAAATCATTGTGACTATTTAAAATTGCAGTTACATTCTTTTAGTTTAAATTTAAAAAGTAAAATTCACACAGCTTTCATTAAGCATCAAACAACCCTTGAGAATCAAATATTCTCAAGTCCTAAGCAATTTTGGAAACCAATGAAAAATAACAAACATAAATCTCGTATACCCGAGATAATGAAATTAAATTATAAAAATCTCAATGGTTTTCAAGAAGTTGTTGATGGTTTTGCTGATCTTTTTTCCTCTGTGTACCATTTGGATCTTGTTTCACACGTGAACCCTAATCCCTTTGTACTTTCATCCACATCATCTTCCATTGATTTTCAATTATCTCCCGCAAATGTTAATAGTGCTATTAAGTCTTTGAAATCTACTTTTACATCTGGGGTTGATGATATTCCTGCGTTTTTATTAAAGGATTGTCGTCCCTTTAGTTGTGATTCTTTATGTACTATATTTAACAATATTCTAAAAACTGGTTATTTCCCTGATTGTTGGAAAACAACAAAAGTTGTTCCTGTTTTTAAATCAGGGAAGGTTGACAGTGTTTGCAATTATCGTCCTATATCTGTGATTACTAATTTTGCTAAGATTTTTGAGAAATCCATTGCTTCACAAATAACTTCTGCATTGTCAACACAATTGTCAACGGCTCAGCATGGTGGTGTAGCAAAAAGATCTACAGTTACAAATCTTATTTCAATTACGCAATTTATTAATGACTCTTTTGAAAATAACAATCAAGTTGACGTTATCTACACTGACTTTTCTAAGGCGTTTGACAAAGTTGACCATTCTATTTTATTTGACAAATTATCTCGTCTGGAAATCCCTTCTAACTTAATCAAAACTCTAAAATCTTATTTAACTAATAGAACAAATTTCGTAAGTTGTGAGGGATTTTCATCTAAGCCGTTTCTCTCAACGTCGGGCGTGCCACAAGGGTCTGTTTTAGGTACAGTTTTATTTACAATTCATATTAATGACGTTGTGGACGTCACGATGTTGGGAACAACAAACTTTGGGAATAACAAACGTTGGGAATAACTCTCGATGTTGGGAAAAAAAAAAATTGAAAACAAACAGTTGATGACTTTAAAATCTTTGCTAGGATTTGTTCATTAAGTGATGTTGAACTTTTGCAAAAAAATCTTGACACTTTGTCAGATTGGTGCACATGCAATAAGATTTTAGTTAATCCACTTAACCCTTTAAAGCCCGAATTATTTCCACCGATTCGATTTCAACCACACTTGGTATATAATGGTTTTTGGGGTCGCTGATTACGAATCTGAAGTCAAAATTGCAAAATTCAAAATGGCGGATCCAATATGGCGGACGAAAAAATAAAAAATAATGGGATTTATATGAAACTTGTCACTCGGGGGTTTTTGGGGTCGCTGATTACGAATCTGAAGTCGAAATTGCAAAATTTAAAATGGCGGATCCAATATGGCGGACGAAAAAATTAAAAATTAATAAGACTTATATGAAACTTGTCACTCGGGGGTTTTTGGGGTCGCTGATTACGAATATGAAGTCGAAATTGCAAAATTTAAAATGGCGGATCCAATATGGCTGATAAAAAAAAATAAAAAATAATGGGATTTATATGAAACTTGTTACTCGGGGGTTTTTGGGGTCGCTGATTGCGAATATGAAGTCAAAATTACAAAATTTAAAATGGCGGATCCAAAATGGCGGACGAGAATTAAAAATTAAATAGGATTTACTTGAATATTGTTACCAGCTGACTATCATTTGTTCTATTTCATTCAAGTCATGCGCTCCAGGGTTGTCAATTGTTTTTATTGATTGGCCAGCTGATTTTCATTTGTTCTTTTTCGTTCGAGTCAAGCGTTCCAGGTTTCCTTTCACAAATGGATTAAATATCTTACTTTTATTAAACATAATTCGCTCTATTAAATCCACCATTATGATTCTTAACATTTTAACCTCAGAAACCCCAAAAACTCAAAGCATCAAATTTAATGTCAATCCCATTAATTTGTTATTTTTTTGTCTTTCATATTGTATCCGCCATTTTGAATTTTGCAATTTTGACTTCATATTCGTAATAAGCGACCCCAAAAACCCCCGAGTGACAAGTTTCATATATCTCCCATTATTTTTTTGTCCTCCATATTGGATCCGCCAAATTAAATTTTGCAATTTTGACTTCATATTCGTAATCAGCGACCCCAAAAACACCCGAGTGACAAGTTTCATATAAATCCCATTATTTTTATTTTTTTGTCCGCCATATTGGATCCGCCATTTTGAATTTTGCAATTTTCACTTCATATTCGTAATCAGCGACCCCAAGAACCCCCGAGTGACAAGTTTCATATAAATCCCATTAATTTTTATTTTTTTTGTCCGCCATATTGGATCCGCCATTTTGAATTTTGCAATTTTAACTTCATATTCGTAATCAGCGACCCCAAGAACCCCCGAGTGACAAGTTTCATATAAATCCCATTATTTTTTATTTTTTCGTCTGCCATATTGGATCCGCCATTTTGAATTTTGCAATTTTGACTTCATATTCGTAATCAGCGACCCCAAAAACCCCCAAGTAACAAGTTTTAATCGAATCTGATTAATTTTTTAAAATTTTTTTGTCCGTCATAGGAGAAAATGTATCTTGACACTTTTTTTATTTATTATTATTTTAATTATTTATTATTATTTTTTTACTTTTGTTTTTTTTAATTATCTGCTGGAAGAGTTTTACTAGAGCTAAGAATTTAAAATTTGTAGTAATATGTACTAGTTTCAAAGTTATGATGACTTTAATGCATTTGTGGTACAGCGTATGTACCACTGGGCGTTAAAGGGTTAAATGTTGTGTTATATCTTATTTTAAATCAAATTTATCACCAATAATTTCTGACTACACAATTCAAGGGACGAAAATACCTCGCAAACAATCAATTCGAGACCTTGGGGTAATTTTCTCACATAATTTAAATTTTAATGATCATATTTTGGATGTTTACAGCTCTGCATCTAGGGCCTTAAGCAATCTTTTTAGAAACACTCGCAATTTAAAGAATATTAAAGTTTTGAATATTTTATTCAACCTTTTTGTTAGAAGTAAAATTGAATATGCTTGGCTCGTTTGGGAACCACATTTTAAAAAAGATTTGCTTCTCTTAGAAAAAATTCAAAAACGTTTTCTTAAATATTGTACTTTACTTAAAACTAATAATTATCCTCCTCAAGGCTCTGATTATCCTTTACTTTGTAAAGAACATAATGTTCTTACACTTGACCAACGTAGTAGTATTACTAAGTTCAAGTTTATAACTAATCTTATAAATAACTCTATTGACTGTCCAGAATTGTTATCTTTTTTAAACTTTAAAATTCCGAGATTTAATAGTAGACACTATCAACCTTTTCTTAATGTTCTACCTTCTTCGTATACAAGTTTTCATGCGCCTATGTATAATGTCACAGAGACTATTAATTTTTTTATAGAAACTCTTCAATTGATATAGATATCTTCACATCTGCGATTTCAGTAATTGTTAATCAACTAACATGTTTACATTCGGACACACCATAATTTTACTGTATCTCAAACTTCGTACTTTAAAAAACTTTATTTTTGTTTCATTATTCAACATTATAATTGTGTTTTATAATTAATAGTTTATTATTTTGTTTGTATTGCCCATTAATGATCCTTGTGATTGAGGGCTTAGACTTAAATAAATAAATAAATGGGCAATTCTCTGGAACCTTTAACATTTAGGTGTCTTATATTTATTATGCAATTACTCAAGATATATCAAATGTTTTATAAAAAGAATTATTGTTCCATGTAAAGAATGTTTAATAATATTAAAATATGTTAGTTTAAAAATTATTAAATTATGTTTAGTAATTAATATATATTTTTTAATGTGGAAAAGTAAGCAAATCACGAGAGTCCCTTTAGGTACTTTCAGAAACATAAACTAATTTTATAAGTTGGCACATCAACATAGAATAAAACGACGAATACATAAATGTAAATGAATATCTAAGGATTATTTTAAAAGTAATTAGAAGATTATACGCATTTGGAAAGTAAAGATATTTAATTTCGAAAAATTTCCCTTATTTTCGTGTCAGGACCGTAACTGCAAACGTACTTGCAGATATTTCAAGAGTGCTTTAATAAAATGAATTCAACAATACATAGAATGAAAGCTTAAAACTTACTAAAACTGTAGCCAGTTGAAATTTTTATGTGCAATAATTTATATTGAAATTATTGAAGAATATTGTTCTTGAATTCGACAGAGAACCTGGTTATGTCAGGACCGTAAATGATTCGGCACAATTAAACAAAACTATAAAAATTTATCAAACCTGTACGCACATTCGCACAATTATATTTTTTACTTGTGTGTAAAAGCACGCCTTAAAATTTTCAATAATTATCGAGATACAAGGAGGTACACGTGAAAATGTCAGGACCGAAATTGTCAGGACCGTAAAAAACTAATTTTTTGTCGCAATAAATTAGGATTTCAAGGTTGTCAGTGTGATAAATTGATAACTTCACTATTGACCGTTCTGTTTTTAAAGTTCAAAATAGAAATATGTAATTCGTAAAGTTAAAAATAATGATGTCAATGAAAGAAATTTAGAATAAAAAGCAGAACAAATGAGGGAAAAAAGAAGAAAAAAAAGGGAATAAGAAGCAGAATACAATTTGAAAAACTTGCATCAGAGAAGGAAATTATTAAGGTTATCTAGAAAAAATATTACAATTAAGATAAATTTAATTAAATAAATAATAATTAAGTTCACTAATTTTTATTAAAATATTTAAATTTGACCAATTTAATTTAATTTTAATAAAACTCTAATAGAGAATATTGAAAAATAAATAATAAATATTATAAAAAAGTAAAGACAACCAAAATATTTAAATCCAAAACAATCGAAAACAATAGATTTTAACCTGTAAAAAATCGTCTTATTAAAAAAGAATAAAAATAGATGAGACCTTCGAAATATTACATTTTTAACTGCAAAAATAAATTCTAAATGCTAATTTTAATTTATATACAAATTTTTATTAATGTGCTAGTAAATTTTTTTTTTTCAAGTCAAAAGTTAAAGGTTCCAGAGAATTGCCCAAATAAATAAATAAAAGGAAATCAATAGAATTTAATCCGAATAAGTTTTAAAAAATTATATGCTTTTAGACATAAATTCCATGAATTTTAATTATTCATTTCTTTCTTTTATATACTCACTTTTTCTCTTCGTATTTCTTTCTTATAGCTGAAAAAATGTAAACATAATTTAGATATATACATGAAAAAATGTTAACATAACTAAGATATATTGTATTGATTTGATGTATAATAGCTACTTTTCTTTCTTTCCACAAATTCGCTTACATTACTTTTATTTAATATATTTAATATTTCTCTATCATTTTAACATTTTTAAAATTTGCAATTAATTTATTTCTATTCTATTTTCATTAAAAAAAGACTAACATGTGTTAATAAAAAAAAAATATATATATATGTAATCTATTTAATTTTTGTATTATTTATATTTTATGTTTATATATTTTATATTATTATTATATTTTATAGTCATAATATTTTACATTATATAATATATTTAATAATTTAATTTTGAATATTCCCTATATTTCTATTAACATATATTAGTATTTTTTTAATAAAAATAGAATAGAATAAAAATAAATTAATTGCAATATTTAAAAATGTTAAACTGAAAAGGAAATATTGAATAAAATTAAAGTAAAAAGAATTTGTAGAAAGAAAGGATATACATTTCTATTATTCTTACCTTCTAAATTATTCTTCCTTGCGGAACGTCCTTCTGGGTCGGCACTTGATCACGAAACTGACTCAAAATTCAAAATGACTACAGTTGTACGTAGAAAAATCGAAATTTACTATAGTGAAGAGATGGATATTCTGAAGAGTGTTACGTGGTGGTGGTAGGGATAACCAAAGAAGAATGTCTTTAGGGCGTTAATAATGATCTATAATGCAGATTTTAACATATTAGGCAACTATTTTCTCTTGAAAAATATTAAAGATTATGCCTTATCTATTTGGAAAAGTCATTTTTAACATTGATACATAGGTTGAGTATTTTATTTGTTGTAATTATTTCTAAAAAATAATTGTATATTAACAAAATTAATGTTTTACCTTGCGTCTTTTTCACTAATAATAATAATTTTTTTTTAATAAATAGGACATTATATATATATATATTATTAATAAACTAGCAACTTTTAACTATTTTCTTCATTTTATAAATAAAACTAAAAATTTTAAAAATAATAGCATTTAAAATTTTGAATTCAAATTTTTGTTGAAAACACTAAAATAATTCAATTTTGGAGAAATTGCAAATAATTTATTCCAGAAATTTAATTATTTTCAAAAGTAATAAAATTCAATTATGTTTAAAATTAAAAAAATTCTTGTTAAAATCCCAATTATCTTTGTAAATAACAAAATTTTTCTGAGATAATAATAAATTTTTTTTAATAAATAGGACATTATATATATATATTAATTATAAACTAGCAAGTTTTAACTATTTTCTTCATTTTTAAAATAAAATTAACAATTTTAAAAATAATAGAATTTAAAAATTTGAATTAAAATTTTTGTTGAAAACACTAAAATAATTCAATTTTGGAGATATTGCAAATAATTTATTCCAGAAATTTAATTATTTTCAAAAGTAATAAAATTCAATTATGTTTAAAATTAAAAAAAAATTCTTGTTAAAATCCCAATTATCTTTGTAAATAACAAAATTTTTCTAAGAAAAAAAATATTAAAATATTAAGAATTCTATAGGAATTCAATTATTTACAATTAATTTTTATAAATTTCTTCGCAATAATGCAATTATTTTCATTAATTTTTAATTATTATAAACATAAAGAAATCGATCACTCCGAATCTTCGAATCTTCATTCCTGTGGAAAAATAATACTAATTAAATATTTATTTTAAAAAAAAATTATTGATGTTTTTGAATAATTTTACAATTAAAGAAATTCGTAAAAATGTAACGGAAAATATTTTAGTAAAATTTTTTTCTTAAGTTTCTAAAAATTTCATTTTGAATGAAAATTTGTAATTGACAAATAGAATTTATAAACATTTGTTTAATTTATTTTTAAAAATAAACTTTGAATTTTATTAAAACAATTGTAATTAAAAAATTAAAATAATGTAAATGATTATTCCCTTATAAAAATTGAAAATTTTCTACAAAAATACTAAGAAACGGGAATATGTAAGGTTTTTTTCCCAAAATAAAAGAATGAGTTTGTGAACAATATTGTTATTGAGAAATAAAAAATATGTATAAAATGGGTATTTATTTACTATTTCTCAATCATAATTTTTTAACAAATTTTATATTTTTTATAAATAAACAAGAGAAAAATTTGTATAATTTAGATCAGTCAAACAAAATTTGTTATAAAAAAGCATATAATAAACAAAATGAGTAAATTTTTAATTTGTTATTCATCATTTTTTAAAAATTTTCTAATTTCTAATATTACTTTATTATGAATCATAAAAAAAAAATACCTGTATATTTTCAATCCGTCAAAAAAAATTTTTTTAAGAAAAAAAAACAGAAGAATATACAAAAACTAACTTCAGGTGTGGACAGAATAAAAGAATGAATAAGACGATTTTTATAATTAATATTTGAATTCATTACTCGGCCCTAATAATAATAATCAAGTATAATTACATGTGTGAATTTGAAGATATAAATACATATGTAATACACGTGTTAATACACATTTTTACTAGGGGGCCGTCTTAGTTAAAATATAAAACATTGAGTTGAACAATCATTTCGATGACATATATTATGGTTTTACACTGTAAAAAATTTAGGGAGTTAACGGACTCGGGAGTTGGGAATGAAATTTTTCAAGTTAAAAATCAACTCCAAAAGAGAGTTATTTTCTAACTCTCTTCATTCAACAACTGCGCGAGTTATTTTTTCCTTAGGGAGTTAGCATTTGGGTGTAAAATTTTAACTCTCTTTATTTAACTCCCCTGGCATTAACTGCCCAATGGGTGCGACTTTTATAGACCCCCCGGGGGAGTTAAAATTTAACTCCCTTTTTTTACAGTGTACATTTAAGATAAAACATAAGCATTAATTTATTATTTTAGGTAATTTTTTGTCCATCTTTTTGTTTTATAAGAAAGTAATGTACCTTCAAACATCTGATACCTATGTTCATTATGTTTCTGATATTTATACAAGAAAGATTATGTGGTTTACCTAAAATAACATTTTTTGTTCCTTTAATATGTAATAAATGGGTCATTTCGCAGGAGAGTTAAGGTTCATGTCTCAGATTTTTTTTATATTTTGCTTATTAATAGTATTTTGGGTCCTAAACAACTATACCAAATTTTAATTAAATATTTTTATTATTTTTCAAGATATTTGCATTGCAAATTTCTTGACATGTTTTTTTCATTTTATTATAACTCACTTATTTTTAAAAATTTATTAAATTTGTTAAGAACCTTTTTTACGTAAAAACCATTGAAGTTTAATAAAAAAAATTGAAAATTAAAAAATATCAATTTTTTTAATTATTTATTTATAAAATTATATTTATTTTTAATGTTTAAGCATGAGCCCTATCAGATTTTGTTTAAAAAAAAATCTTATTTCAAAGTTTAAGATCTCATTAAAAAACCGTGAAATTTTTAGAATGGCATCTGTCTTTGTTTTTTAGTAATAAATTGTCAAAGTTTTAATTGCACTATCGCGCGCCGGCTCACAGTTGGATTTTTTTACAATTTACTGTTTAAAAATGACTACAGCCTACAATTTTTAACCGATTTGAGTGTTTTTTGTTTTAAATTAAAGGGGACATCCTGGGAGGCCATTTTTTTAAATATTAGTTGTTTATAATTTTTTATTTTAAAAAAATTAATACCATTTTTTTAAAAAGGACGTTTATTTTCTTATTCCGTTACTGCACATGATCTATATAAGTTCAAAATAATCCAATATATCCACCAGACAATTAATAAAACAAAGTAATTTATTTAAATTGTTATAAACAATATTAATTAACAAATAGTTAACTTTGATTCCTCTTCAATAAAAAATGTTTTTTTTCACATTTACTTTTATATTTAGGTTCATTTAAAAAATATATGTCCTTTCCTTGTTTAAATAAGTTATTTTTTAAACAAGTAGGACATGTATTCTTGAAATAAAATTAAATCAAAAAGAAAATGTGGAAAAAAACCTTTTTTAGTGAAGAGGAATCAAAGCTATCTATTTGTTTAATTATATTGTTTATAACAATTTACATAAGTTACGTTTTGAACAAGGAGGACATATAAATGATCCTAAATATAAAAGTAAATGTTAAAAAAAACATTTTTTAGTGAACAGGAATCAAAGTTAACTTTTTGTTAATTAATATTGTTCATAACAATTTCAATAAATTATTTTGTTTTATTAATTGTCCGGTGGATATATTGGATTATTTTGAACTTATTTAGATCATGTGCAGTAACGGAATAAGAAAATAAACGTCCTTTTTAAAAAAATTGTATTAATTCTTTTAAAATAAAAAATTATAAACAATTAATATTTTAAAAATCGGCCTCCCAGGATATCCCCTTTAATTTAAAACAAAAAACACTCAAATCGGTTAAAAATTGTAGGCTGTAGTCATTTTTGAACAGTAAATTGTAAAAAAATCCAACTGTGAGCCGGCGCGCGATAGTGCAATTAAAACTTTGACAATTTATTACTAAAAAACAAAGACAGATGCCATTCTAAAAATTTCACGGTTTTTTAATGAGATCTTAAACTTTGAAATAAGATTTTTTTTTAAACAAAATCTGATAGGGCTCATGCTTAAACATTAAAAATAAATATAATTTTATAAATAAATAATTAAAAAAATTGATATTTTTTAATTTTCAATTTTTTTTACTAAACTTCAATGGTTTTTACGTAAAAAAGGTTCTTAACAAATTTAATAAATTTTTAAAAATAAGTGAGTTATAATAAAATGAAAAAAACATGTCAAGAAATTTGCAATGCAAATATCTTAAAAAATAATAAAAATATTTAATTAAAATTTGGTATAGTTGTTTAGGACCCAAAATACTATTAATAAGCAAAATATTAAAAAAATCTGAAGCAAGCGCTTACGCTTATTTTAAAGGTCATTTGCTACATCAAAAATTATTAAATGATGCAGATGATAATATTATATTACCAGAACATATTATTCAAAAAGGGAATAGGTATACAAAATTTAAAACAAAATTTAATCTTTTAAAGACAATTTAGGTATACAAAATTTAAAATAAAATTTAATCCTTTAAAGATAAAATGTTTTTAATAACTATGTGTGTATCTTTAAAGTAATATTATAAACTTTTCGGTGTAAAAACATTTCCATTTTGAATAGCAGAAAGAAAGGGGCGTGCGTAGCACGCAATGTTAGTGACTAGTCTAAGATGACGATACTTTATATGTATGTAAAAAAATTAACTGCTACTAGTTTAAAAAAATTAAGATCGATTAAAATGATAAGTTTAATTGAAAGAAGATGTTTAAAGATGGCACAGTTGGAAAAAAAGTATTTTGTTGTCAAAAGTAACCTTATAATTCCAAGCAGAACGGTTAAATATAATGCATCAAACTATGTTTCTCAGTCGACGGCTGAAAGAGAAGTGTGGAACAAGAGAACTCTCAACGTCGACAAGTAGTAGAGGGGAGTGTAGTGAAAGGAAAAGCGAACGTGATTGGTCTGTAGAGCGTAGAGACTAAGAAGTGGGAGTATTTACAGACAGAATTCGAACAATTCCAGTTTAAAAACAACCTAACCGAGTTTGGTCAGATGTTTTATTTCTATATATGTTTTCTCATTATACTAGGACAGAAGTTTTTTATTATAATAATCTA